CTAAGATGAGTGACAGCTTTTAATGATTTTTAAAGGAGTTTGTAAATGTGATAATGATTTAATACAATAAAATTAAATAAACAATAAGTTAATATTAAGTGACTTACATTGTCTGACTATAACACTATTGTCTGATTTTGCTCTATTTCGTCGTCGAAAATAGTTTCAAAAGACACAGCGGAGCCGCTGCGCATCTCCATTCAAACGCAGCGGTGTTTCGTTTATGAATGAACTGCGTTTTTAAACGAATCTAGTGAGTCAGTGATTCATGATTACCCATTCATAAATATTGTCACTTGCTTCATTCCTGAATGATTCAGCCGTTTGAATGAATCAATTGAATGAATGATTTTTTAAAGTTTCTTTTTTTAACATTAGTAAACTATGAAATAACTTTAATGATCAATATAATAATTAATATTAATATGTTTATTCATTTACAAAGTATGTTTCAGTACTGCTACTGCTTTTTTAAAAATAGTAAAGCTCTGTTTTAGTTTTCGTTTACCATTTTAAAAACTATCGGTTGATTAATCGGTATCGGCCAGTGTGGTCCAACCTAGCTATCGGTATCGGTAAAATCCACTATCGGTCGACCTCTAATCAGTACAACCTTAGGCAGTTTAGTGTTATTTTGCATATTTGACTGTAATACATTGATTATACTGGATTTAAAGATGGCTTCTTTCTCTGTTTGTGTCAGATGGTGAGTGAGAAGGTTGGTGGTGCTGAGGGAACTAAACTGGACGAGGAGTTCAAGGACCTGGAGAGAGTAAGTTGAATGTATTTTCCCACACTGCAGCCAACAGTCTTTCTAAAAAACATTGATTTAAACACATTAAGTGATTCAAAGACTTGATCTCTGTCCCACACATCCATCAGTAAGATTTTCTACACCACCTGTGTTTTTCTGGAAAGTTTCTTTTGCTTACAAAGTGAAAGTGGTGTGGCTGTAGTGATCCAGGATAATTATCTGAAATGTTTATTCACTGCAGTGTCTTAGCATGATTTTTTTATTTATTTAATAATCCTCTCCTCTATACCTGAGTGATGTCATCCGTTCTCCTGAAAACACTTTGTTTGTTTAACACTGAACATTAATGGCTTCACAGATATTGCCTCTTCATTTAGTTCTTCTGTAATTCGATATTTTAGTAAATGGTTTCTTAGAATACTAGCACATAAAGAGGAATAAAAAAGCAGTGTTCTGATAGATCTAGTGTGACTAACTGATAGGTTAGTGTGTTTGTCCTGGTTGTGTGCGTGTTCTCAGTGTGGTGACTTCCCCTCTGTGTTTCTATAGAAAGTAGATGTGACAAATAAAGCTGTAATAGAAGTCATCTCTAAAACATCAGAGTACCTGCAGCCCAATCCAGGTAAGACCAAAAATGCTCTTGGAGCTTTTATGTTATCTTTGTGCCTATTTAAGGTTTGTATACATTATAGTCCTTAAGCCCAAAGTGTACTTTGTTTTTTACGGGTATGCATATGGTGCGTGACACAAATGTTTATCATCAGCATAGTGCTACATCCGCCATGTTTCTCATTCGTCATGTGACCTATGGCGTCAGTTGAGTCACTTCACTTTTATTCACAAATCCTCTCCCGTGGCCTCATGAGATGATAAAAATGCCCATCAGATCTGCACTTCACAATCTCGTCAGTAGTCTTAAGTTAAGTCAGCCTGGAACTTTTCACCTACTGTTTTATGAATACTAAGAATTTGGACATTATTATTCAGTTCACATACTGTTTTTCAGCTACCATATATTGTGAAAGTAGGCATATTCCGAAGCAAGTTTAAACAAGTTTATTCCCAACTAGTTTAAACAAGGGCAGAGACATTTTATCGATGCTAACATCTGGAGAGATATGGCGCAGGCACTGAACAAGGATGAAACTTTATAGCATGCATGTGTTGAGCGCCTGTGTTCACGCACGCTATTAAATGCTTTGAAAGGCTGTGTGTTCAGCTGTATACATGAGCCTAAGCCTCTGCATCTAAATAGATGTATACTTTTTCTGGCAGAACAGATGCATACAATAACCATTATTGATCATTACTGTAAAACATCTTTTTCCTTCCGTTCCTTTCACACAGCATCTCGTGCAAAGCTCTCTATGTTGAACACCATGTCTAAGATTAGAGGGCAGGTGAAGAGTCCAGGTTATCCACAGGCAGAGGGGCTGCTGGGAGAATGCATGGCAAAGTATGGCAAAGAACTCGGAGAGGACACAAACTTTGGTGGGTTTACAAAATGAGTGCAGCTTTTGAAACCTCAGAGATTTTGTTTGTGATTCTCTTGCTAACCATATGTACAAAACAACCGCATGTGTGTCTGTAGGTGGTGCTCTAGTTGATGTTGGTGAAAGTATTAAGAGGCTAGCAGAGGTGAAGGATTCATTGGACATTGATGTCAAACAGAATTTCATCGACCCTTTACAAGGCCTGGCTGACAAGGACCTAAGAGAAATACAGGTTTGCTTACATTCTCTGTCTCACACACATATATAATTAAAAAATACCTGTATAATTTTTATATGACGCCCACATTCAAAGAAAAAATGTGCAAAAATTGTGCCGTTAGGGGTACAACAGCTTGTCATTGGGGCAGTACCTTTAGAGTAAGGTTCATAGTAGTACCTTAAGGGTACATATTACTGCTATAAGGCAATAATATGCACCTTTCAGCTGTAGATAAGGTACAAAGATGTCCCTTCAAGGGGACTGCCCCAGTGACAAGCTGTTGTACCCTAAATATGCCATTTATGCACATTTTGTTCTTGAAGGTGCAGATAAACAAAAATTAAATATCTGCAGTTTGTTTTGATTTAATGATGAGCTGAAGAGTAATAACCTCTGTACCATAAAGTATTCCTTTTCCTTCTGAAGGAACAAATTTTATATTTAGAGTTCATTTCCTTAACTATGTTTCATGTGGTCAATTCCACACCAGTAGTATTGAAATGGAGAGTTTCCCTCTTTCTCAGCACCATTTGAAAAAGCTTGAAGGACGCAGGCTGGATTATGACTATAAGAAGAAACGTCAGGGGAAAATTCCAGATGAAGAGGTCAGGCAGGCTCTGGAGAAGTTCCATGAATCTAAGGAAGTGGCTGAGATCAGCATGTACAACCTTCTGGAAACTGATGTAAGGATTTACCATCTGACAGCTTGATGCTTCATTTGGTGTGTTTTTTTTGTGTTTTCTGGGGGGTTGTGCGAATCCTATTAGCAGCACTGAATAAGTCAGTGTTTGTCTGGAACACCTTGCCTTACTGATTTTTGTACCAACTGTCTCTATCTTAAGAACTTTTGGCAAAGGCTGTCATTTTAGAATTAGCAGTATTGAAAAATAAACTTTTTCTGTCCTTTTTTGACTCCAGCCCATCCGTGGGGTCAAGACAGGTAATCCAATAAAGCTGTAGTGCAGCCAAAAGGATAAAAATCCTCTTGCTTCATGGCTGTAGCTTTTATCTGATGTTTTATGGAGATGTCAGAGTGCCATCTATTGGTTGAAAATGACCATAACTTGATGAGGGAATAAACATCGGCTGGTGGAGTCTATGAAAAAAAGACTATTTTAAAGCCATCAAGTGCTAGATGTAAAGTAATACACTGAAGACAGTATGGTACAGTTTTAAACCATAGTAAACCTTTAGTGTGAACAGCTAGCAGAGCTCCCAGTCTAAATATAGCAGTCTAGTGAGACTCGTGTGAACTCAAGGCCTCAGAAATGACTCATTAACTAGGCTATTTGCTTATGAATGTTGTTGTGATTTCCCAGTATTACCATAAGTGTAGATGTGCATGAGTGCATATTTATATATTTAATGTTTGTGTGTTCTTGTGCAGATCGAGCAGGTGAGCCAGCTGTCATCACTGGTTGAGTCGCAACTGCAGTACCACAAACAGGCTGTTCAGATCCTGGATGAGCTTTCTGACAAACTCATAGACAGGTGTGTATGTGGGCACATGAAATTTGCAAAGCATGTGTGTTTGTTCTTTGTTCTGTCGAAAGAAGCAATATATGACTCTTATTTAACCAACCAGGATGAAAGAAGCTCAGTCACATCCTCGTAAAGAGTATGTGCCCAAGCCCAAGCCTGTAATTGACTTTGGAGACACCAACGAACAGTCAAATGGTGGCTTCACCCCGGCATCTGTTCCACCCATGCGCAGTGCAGGTAAGACCAGATAATTTACTAATTTAGCTGTTCCTGGATGAGGATATATGATCTTCATTACATTTGAGGAAATGCCTTGGACTTGAGGCTAGTGAGAGAAAGGCACATTGTGCTTTGTGCGGTTGCGGCCCGGTGGCAGGGTGTGATGAGACCGCCTGTGCATGTGGCAGGATAGGCAAGACAACTGGACAGCTGTCAGCTGCTCTCATCGTCAGCCAGTGACCCTGTTCTGTGTTCTCTTCCCATTACGTCATCAGAGCCATACCGCCAGTTTGGCAGAATATCCACGTGGAAACCCAGATTGCGTGAGTCAGAGAGTGTGTGGCTCTGTATGTGTTTGCATGGGAAAGTTTGTGTGTTTGTGTGTTGGGGGTGTAGGAAAAGTTTGTCAAGGTGCAAGAATAAAAGTAGGAATGTGCAAAACTGCACATTGTTCGGTATATAATCATTATATTTTACCAGATATTGGATATTTAATTGTGCATTTTCATGTCCAATATTTGTAGACATTTAATTGCGCTAAAAAATGCATTTAATGCTCATTTAATGCTCATTTAAAGATAATTTAATGACACTGTTGAATGTAATCATTAGATAATCTCAAAATGAATATCCATTTTACATAACTGTACATTAAAATGTTGTATACGAGTAACTTTTGTTATTTTATTTATTTTTTGTAGACAGGACATTATAGAATTTAATAGGCCATTTATCAGTTATCAGGCATAAAATAATTATGGGCTTATCAAATCACCTTGAATTTTAATGTCGTTACATGTCTGGCATTTTTATATGGAAGAGAACCAAATAAGAATGTGGGGGGAAGTTACGCAACAGCACAACAGCTACAAAAATGTGCACATCATAGCAGCCAAAACAAAGGGGCAAACAAATATACCATAATTGTTGGTTGAATTTGTTTTCTGTAACTCCACTATTGGTGGTGGGGCTGATAATTTTGATGTAATGCCTCTTAATTTCACTTCCATTGATTATTTACATCTACTGTAGATGAGTTTCTATAGCTGTGAAAATGGGATTTATAAAGTTCATGAAAGGTTCAGCTCTTCATTAAATGGTAGTTTATTGCACTGACGAACAGCAAACTACAGGTTACATAGTGTCTTGTTGCAGGGTATGTGTGCTGGATGCGTATGTAAGAGAGGGCGACTGTATGAGTATCTGTGTGTGTGTGTGTGTGTGTGTGTGTGTGTGTGTGTGTGTGTGTGTGTGTGTGTGTGTGTGAATGTGTGCATGTGTGTTGGCCTCAAGCACAGATTGCTGCTCCACCTAACAGAGTGATCCCCTGCTACAGACTGAAACTGGAGGTCTTCTGTCACATGACTACAGACCCAGGCTTTGGCACCCGACCCCTCACTAAAACAGAGCACCTCGTCCTAACCCAGACGGTTGTAGTGAGATTAAAACTGTGTTAAACACTAACACATATTTCACTCCATGACTGGTTTGACAGACTGGTCTGGGAAAGATTAACATTTTGATTTACTGCTATGAAACATTGTTATTTTTATCGTCATTTATATACTACTATAGTTCAGTGATTTTATTGTGTGTTTTTGTCTATTATGTATCTATAATTGTCTATCTATAATTTCTATATGGCTTTATTTTAATTTCCGTTTTAGTCATTTTAGTATTTCAACTTAAACATATCTATTTCAGTCGGTTGCCATGTCGATGTTTCTCATTTTCATTTAAGTTTTCATCTGATATTTATATTTTATTTCAAATTTATTTCAATTACCGAAAACAATTTTAATCATTTTAGTTAACAATAACAATACTGCTATTACGTATTAGAGTGTTTAGTGCATTTCATTTAAAATTCTACAATTTTTTTTTTTTCAAATATGATAAATATAAAAATAATATTTTTAATGTTTCTTTTTTTCCCCAAAAAATGTCAAATTTGTATTTTCTACAATTACGTTTGTGTGTGTATACATATATGACATTTTAAAGTTAATAATTCCTTGATTATCCTTAATAATCCTTGTCTTATTTTTTTTTGCCAAGAATGTCAGATATTTGACCCATGAGGATGTAATAGTTAAATTATTGTTATAAGGCCAACAATATATTTCCTTTTTAGCTTTTACTTCCTCCACTGTATACTAACATCCCTTATTCCCAAAATCCCACCTTAATATCCCATTCTCCATCTCTCCTTTTAGCAGCGGAGCAGCCGTGCTGTAAAGCTCTCTATGACTTCGATCCGGAGAATGAAGGCGAATTGGGCTTCCACGAGGGTGACATCATCACTCTGACCAATCAGATCGATGAAAACTGGTATGAAGGCATGCTGCGTGGCCAATCTGGATTCTTCCCTCTCAACTACGTGGAGGTGATCGTTCCTCTGCCACACTAAGAGGTCTTCGTTGAGGAAAAGAGGGGAGAGAGAGAAAGAGCAATAAAAAAAGTGAAAAGGAGAAAGCTGGAGGGAAGTGAGGTAGGGAGAAAGGAGCCAGCTGAAGTCATCTTGGTCTTCATCCTCACCACATTGTTGCCGTTGATCCAAATACAGTGGGTACGGAAAGTATTCAGTCAACGATTCTGTGTTTTTCTGTCAATATGAGGTGCTGTGTGTACATTAATGAGGAAAAAAAATTAACTTAAATGATTTTAGCAAATGGCTGCAATATAACAAAGAGTGAAAAATTTAAGGGGGTCTGAATACTTTCCGTACCCACTGTATGCCTGTACTCTGGCACTTTTACACATTGATTTATTTTTTGAAGGAGGGAACTTTGGGAAATGATGACCTTTCACATTCCAGGACTGACTGACTGACCGGTTGACTGACGTATGGACGTTATTATAACCTGGTCCTTAAGTTAACATTTCAGACACACTAACTCACTTCATTGTCCATGTCTTTTAATAATGTCTCATACTGTTTGTGCTGCATTAACTGAAAAGAAATGACTACACACTATGATATCCCTGTGGTGAAATTATCATGTTTTTAAAGAGTAGACAGGCTATTCTTAATCAGTACGAATTCTCAATTGTTGGATTGTGAGAAGTTGCATTTTACTCGACTGGTCCCCTTGCTGCCCCTGCTGGTCAGGCTGCGACATTGACCTTCCTTAGATTAAGGAGAAACTGCCTTGTATCTGTGACGAACACGTGAGCAGTGGGGCTGTGCGTGCAATGTCCCAATGTGCAGCAATCCTGAGCCACAGACCTGTAGAAAGGAAATAGTCCTTTTGTACGCTCCATAATTGTAACCTTTTTCTATAGCTATTTGTCATCTAATATTTTTTTCATGTATATTTTTACAAGATATTAGAAATTAGACGCTGAATTGCACCTTGGATTATGTCGTAAAGGTGAGCTAAAACACCTAAAGGATGTGTTTAGTCAGGTAGAGAGGGTTTTACTGCACTACAACCGTTTTGAAACACTTTGTGCCCCCCTTACAACTTCTAACTCACTAAGGGTGGCAGACAAACCATTTACACACTGTTTTCTGAAGGAAACACAGCCAAATAGTTCTTCTTCCGGCAGCCTGAATAATAGTCTTCCTCTCTCTTTCTCCTCTTGATGTCAGTTTACGGTAGTCTCTACATCTGATGCTGCTGGCAGTGTCCCGTTATTTCAGGTGTGTATATGTAGGCGTGGTTAGGGTGGATGTTGGCTCATAAGCCCCATATTAAATTCTAATTAACACAGAATGTTTTGATATTTAAAAAAAATCTTCCCATCTTCAGAAATGAAGGGATGGTGCTACATCTCTTGCTCTCTCCCATCACTTGCAATGTATTTTTAGAGCTTTAAAAGTGATTGGAGATCTAGTTTCTTCATTACTCGGTGTTCCCTAGTTTTTAGGATGTTTTTTCAAATACTGTTCTGTCACACTCCATAAAAGCATGGACCTACACACCCTCCACCCCGACTCCCAAGTCCTGTCTGCATAGAGCACCTATGTGTTCTTTTCCTCTCAGCATCTGTTTACATGTTTTGTCCACGGTTTGTTTTGCTCACCGTAACAGACTGTAGTAGATGTGCTGAAGCAGACAGGCTACGATCACCGTTTCAATGTGAAAAGAAGAGTTTTAGTGCCTTTTCGATGGCAAGAATGGATCTAGAACACCAAACAAAATATTAATTATGATTTTCGAGCTAATATGTAGTTTCTGTCTGGCCTTTTTCTTTATTTACGAAGGGCTTGTTGGTATTTGACATTAGCTGTGACCAGATGTACAAGCATGTGTACAGATGTGCCTTTGCAGCAGTACAAGTTTAAGAAAACAACAAATGGGTTATTTCTGTCTAATCGAACGTGGCTACCAGAATGATTTACATGAAAATAAATCATTCTGGTACTGCTCTTTTTAGTATTATATTTTTTATATATGCATACAAAACCATTCAACCTTTTTTATTAATGTTTTTTGCATGTTAGCTTAATAGCAGGCTGATGTATGTTGTAGTTTTAAAGTCTCCTCCTTCAGATTTAACTGCATTATATTGTTATTCTTAAATATCCCAAACCCTAAATATTTGTATCTTATTGTGTCATCTCGTCTTTAAGTAAATAAATTCAAGAAAGTACTCCATTTGTTTCACTTGTGTGAGTATGAACTGTTTCTTTAATTGTATGGTAAGAAAAACATTGTTATGAGGTTAGAAGCCAGAAGCAAACGGAATCGGCACATTTAATTTGTTCCAGTGTATATTTTAAGGTATTCAGCAGGTAAAAGGCATTGTTCCCATATTGCGTAGTCAACATGGCAGATGATGGCACAAATCTAACCACACAAACAGATAAAGAGAGAGAGAGAGAGAGAGAGAGAGAGAGAGAGAGAACTCAATTACCCAGCTTCTTCTCTTTCCTAACTACCCACCAAACGTTTCTACCACAGAGGAAGACAAGTTTCACAGCACAGATATGGCAGAATCGTATAAACCACAGCCAGTGATACAGACCTAACAGTCCTAAAGGCAACAGTTTGAACGGAAGCATATATGATATATCCTCCATGAAGGCATTTCATATACAGTATAACAGTGCACAGACGGTAATGCACAGGGCGGGAGGTCCCAAGTCAACAGTTCTACAGCGTAACACAAATGCAGACGTAAACTGCTCCGGTCACTGAGTGCTGCGCAGCTGGTTGTACACGTGCTCCAGGATCTGTGCGTACGCCTGGTCTTTGGGTGCGTGGCCACTCAGAGAAGCCTGAGGATGACAGAAATTTTGAATTTCTTTAAATACTGCTAGTCAGACATATAGTCATGCTTTGCTGCAAGATGATCGTTAAAGATACCAACTCTGCATAATGGGTAGAGACAACTTTTAAGACATTTGCAGGTTGATTTTTCTGAAAAGTATACACTTAAGTATGGTAGCCCGTTTCCACCTCAAAATAAAAAAATAAAGGTAATTTTGACTTTCTTTTTCTTGCAATTCTGAGTTTACATCTTGCAATTCAGTTTTTTTTCTGCCATGTAATAAAAAAAGGTAATTGTTACACTAGCTCAAAATTCAACCTTTTTTTTGTTTGTTTATATCTCTCAATTCTGAGTTTATATCTCACTATTCTGCATTTATATCTCGCAATTCTGACTTTTTCTTTTTTAGAACTGCAAGAAAAAAAAAGTCTGAATTGTGAGATGAAATTGCAATTACCTTTTTATTTTTTTTATCCTGCAGCAGAAAGAAGCTTCCATAATTAAGTCTGTGCATATGCACTTTAAAGGTTTGATTTCAGTCAGATTAAGGCAATCATTTCTTTCTAAAATGTCAAGTAAAAGCTTTAGTTCTTCTGAAATGACATCAGATCGATTTTTGAAATTGATGCTATCAAAACATCGTATACCAACCAGTCTGACATAGCAATACCGGCTCTAATGTGACTTTGGACTGTCCCCTTTGTTGACACTAGTGGCATTGGAATTACACACTTTACCTTAATGTTAATTGTAAATCATGAAAATGTATATTGTGTTTTGTTTGTTTGTGTATGTATGAAGGAGAGAAATTATAGCAGACCTTGATTTTGTCGAGTACTGAGGAATTAGGACTCCACATCTGACTGAACTGCACAAGGTCAGGAGCAGACCGATAAAACTCCACCAACAGCATCTATACACAGAGATATAAAAATAAAACGCATATCGGTCTAAGCTTCTCATAAGACTTCATACTGATTAATTCTACAGGATGTAATTTAGACACTTTAATCTAATCTAGACTGAGGTGTTATCTATAGCTGCAGGAAACTGAAGAGACAACCAGTGATTTGCTTCAAAAGCTACTATTTCTGAAGCATGCTGAACTATAGAAGAGATTAAAATCCCTGCTTTCCCAAGATGGACATTGTTGCATAAATTTAGGATGTTAGTTATTATCGTACCATCTCATTGAGTACATCTGTAGTGAGGAAGTTGTCTTGCACGTATGTGACCTCTACCGCCACTGGGATGCCGTAATCATTGGGTCGTTGCTAAGCGGAAGAAGAAAATAAGAGCAAGCTAATATTTTGGCATCAACAGCAAAAAAAAAATGTCAGTAAATGTTTAAGAACAGTTACCTCAGGAGGGGGAACTACCCAGAATGGCGTAATGGTGGAGGCCACACCTTGGTTGCCATGGTAATAGGGTCCTATAATTGGTGGACAAAGAAAAGACATAACAGATCATTCTTTCAATAAAATACAGGCTGTGTTGTGTAATAATCATCTGGGAAATCCATCACGCACCACAGATAATCCCCAGACAGGGCTGGAAGCCATTACTGCTGCCTTGTAGGCGGAGCTGGTGATCCATCTGTGAATCTATGTCCTGCAGAGACGGAAGGGCGGGGCCTCGTGGGTGACTGTGATACCATCCCACCAATGACAGCCCCCGCATGAAGAGATTTTGGCAAATCTGCAACACCGTTTTAATAAGGTAAACTGCTCAGACTATGTTACTTCACTAACAAAATGTTTTTTTTGCAGATTAACCTCTTCTTCGACTGCTGGTGCAGCGTCTTTATCTGCCAGCCGCGTACGGCAAGGGAACGCCCTCAAGACTGTAAGCACTGAGGAACATGAAATATACATTTTAAGTGTTTATAACCTCCAAAGTTTGTACAGCAGTTAAAAAAATGATCACCCTTACACTGGGTGTTAGTGTCCCATCGGCCCCCTAAATACCCCACCACCTCACTTGTGGTCAGGTGACAGTGAAAATCCTATGAATAGAGGAGAGTAAAAAGGTTTATATTGGCTTCAACTGTTGACACCCTATCATCAGTATTGACTTTACTCTTTATTGTAAAATCATAAATCCATGAGCACTTCATACCATTAGCAGCAGAACATTGCTGGACACTGCTACATTAAAAGGCTGGAAGCGGTTGATCGCAGAAAAGGCAGACAGTTCTACGAGAGTGTGAGGATCCCTGTCAAGACAAACACAGAAATACTCAGGTACACTTTGTTTTGGAAGAAAGTGTATTTATTTGATTAAAAAAAAACAATTATATTGTGAAATATTAATTAAATTTAGAATAACTTTTCTGTTTCATTTATATTTAAAATGCAATTTATTTATGTGGTGGCACAGCTGAATTTTTAACATGCTATTACTCCATTCTTCAATGTCACATGATCCTCCAGAAATCATTCTAATATGCTGATTTGGTGCTCAAAAACCATTTTGTGTTGTTATCAATGTTAAAAACAGGGCTTTCTGTTTCCATCAGTTTTTCTGCCTCAACTCAGAACTGAACAATTAGGCTTAAGGGCCTCAGGCAGGTAAAAGAAGGTGCAATAAATGTTGTTTAAAACTAAAACTGTCGTATAAAAAAGAAACATTATATTTGTAACGTAATAATTACCTTGCAGCATCTCTAGTGCCAAGAGTGCAATACCTGACTGGAATTCTTTCTCTGTCTCTCCTCTGCACCAGGCTAATGTCTGAAAACCAACAAAGAGGAAATAACATATATAAACAGGCCAAGTCATGCCTTCTCAGGTGTCCTGTTTTGATATGAAGAGTCTAGGTGATTGTGAAGAGTGGAGATTTTTCCATGTTTATGTAGATGATGACATACCGTGCAGCTCAGGTTTGGACTTTTTATTCTTGTCCTCAACTAGCATGGTCGTTTTTCCTTCCTCTTCGTCATCATCTCCCATCTCATCATCCTCTCCTTCACTTATCAGACTCTGAGGTAAACAAATCAAATCATACACAAACTGCTGGCTGCACTGTGATTGTTTATATTTATTGTAACTGATTTATAACCTTTTAAGTTCTTGGTTACTATTATTTACATTTTGCAACATCTTTCTTTTCTTTTGACTAAAGGTCTTTGCACGCCGAGTACGAAATTCTCGTACGATATTTTCGCAAGTTAAAAAATACAACTTCACGTTATGTAAAGTGTGTTTTGTTCTCGCTCCTCTCCGCAACCCCGCGGCCTAGTAATTATTAATTTCAACCGCTTATTTAAAAATCACTAATTTCTTTATTCTCACCCATTTCGCGATAATCGTTGGAAACGCTTTGCCCTGAGACTGCTGCACAGACTGATGCGATGTCTTTATTCCGCTACTTCAGTTCAGTTCAGCGTTGTTAATGTAACACTTCTGTGCGGACACTCGCCACCAGGCTGTTATTCAAAAACATAAAATGAAGGCGTGTGTGCGTCTGCAGTCTAGTTTCCTTGTGTAGTGTTTCTTTAATGTCAATTCCCCTCCCCTTTCTCCCTCCTACCCGTCCTTGTCATTTACTGCCCTTTATAAATTAGCGGTGTTTGTGGTGGTAGTCTCTCCAGCGCGGGGGGTGGATGTGTTTTGCATTGCTGTTACAACGGAAGCATTACTCGCGGAAATATTACACGGAAATTGGCAGCCATTGTTTGCCATTTTTCTGTTCATATCAGTTTAGATACAGTTTCTAATGGCCCTGGACCACGGTCAAATGAGCAGTCGACTGGGACCCAGCAGTGGACAGATGGTTTGTTTGGGTGGGATTATGCGTAAATAATATAGGATTTACGGTAATGAATGGAACGCAGAGTTTTATTCTCACCGCTAGATGTCATCAAAGAACGACGTATTATTCCAGCGCATACAGAAAAACTGAACTGTCAACAAATGTGACCCTGGACCACAAAACCAGTCATAAGGGTCAATTTTTTAAAATTGAGATTTATACATTATCTGAAAGCTAAATAAATAAGCTTTTCATTGATGTATGGTTTGTTAGGATAAGACAATATTTGGCTGAGATACAACTATTTGAATATCTGGAATTGAGGGTGCAAAAAAAATCTAAATATTGAGAAAATCGCCTTTAAAGCTGTCCAAATGAAGTTCTTAGCAATGTAATATGTACTAAATATACATATTACATTGCTAATATATATAAATATATAAAAGATATATTTATGGTAGGAAATTTACAAAATATCTTCATGGAACATTAACTTTACTTAATATCCTAATGGTTTTTGGCATAAAAGATATATATTTAATATATAATCTATAATCTTGACCCATACAATATATTGTTGGCTATTGCTATGGCTATACCCGTGCTACTTATGACTGGTGTTGTGGTCCAGGGTCACATATTTAAAAATGATCAACACAAAAGCAAAATCACCATGTCATCAGCCCACCAAACCTGAAATGTTTAAAGGGGTCATATGATGCGATTAAATTTTTTCCTTTCTCTTTGAAGTGTTACAAGCTCTTGGTGCATAAAGAAGATCTGTAAAGTTGCAAAGACTAAAGTCTCAAATCCAAAGAGATATTCTTTATAAAAGTTAAAGTCAGCCACGCCTACCTAAAACGGCTCGTTCTAACGTGCCCCCACATACCTACATCACTATGTGGGAAGATTTGCATAACACCACCCAAATGTTCACGCAAAGAAAGAAGGCGTA